GTGAGTTTCCAGGCAAATTCTCCTGCCCAAACACCTACTCAGTGAAAAACGGTCTGCTCCCCACGCTTCATTATTTACCCTCCACATCGCACTTATTTTTCATTGTTTTGTTGTTTAAAAACCCATGGGTTTCAGAATGGTGCACCGACACGGGCTTCACTTCAGTCCCCACCTGTGTACCCCAACACCAGAGCCAGCCCATCTCATAGGCTCGTGGCCTGGCAGTGCCTTTTCCGCTTCAGAATGAGTTCCTACTGGGCATTTCTTTCCCAGAGTCTAGTCTGTCCCACTGAACACTTGCTGGGGAGTGACACTCAGCATCCACATACTCAGCAAATCTAGCCTCACAGGTATTGGCTTTGTCTGTATTTGAGCTCGCTCCTTCCCCGTGTTTCACTCTACTGTGTGTGCCTGTTCTCTTTTTGAATTTTTCAAACCAGCCACAGCTGGCTTTGAACACTTGAGGCTGGCTGCCCAGCACTCACTTGGCAACACTGTCAGTGAATCACTGTGGAGGCATTCGGCCTTCTCGAATTGTCACCGTCGCCATCCAGTTTCTCATTTACTCGACCTTACAGTAACTTTTCAACCTCTTTGATGGCCTGGGTTCTTGGTTTCGCGGTTAACGTTTTCACACCTTTTACTACACTGGCCACTTTAATCACATTTTTTTCTAGAAGTATTGATAATGGCAAGTTAGCCATGTTGTATTCAGCTACCAAATCAGACAAGCAGTGACCTGATTCAAATTTCACAATTTCTTTAACTCTGTCGTGTTTCTCAGTTTTCCACTTCGCTTTACTGCTATCACTTTCTTTGGGGCCATGGTTATCGTATTTTATGCAAATAACGCCGGAAAAAGCACAATGACGGGTGTTTTAACGTACTAACACAAGCACTGTATGTGGGCTTGGCCGAAGCAGCGCTGAGTGAAGCGTCACCCTTTGTGTCCAAGGAGAAATGCAGTCCATGATTCACTCTCCGCCCATACAGGTTTCTTCTAGTCAGATTTTCGCTCAACTATCAAGCAAAGTTACAAACACCGAGCAGATTTTTTTCAAACTTTGCTGTTCAAATGGTGGAAAGTTCAAGAAAGACCGAGCATGGAGCTGTTGGACAAGTGAGGCAGCACTGTATCGGAAACGGGGGAACCGATGCCTCGCAAGCCACAGTCCACAGCCCACACCGTCAAAGTCCGGTGCCTCATCCCAAGGAACCCCAACGTAGGCACTGTGGTCGGATCCCGAGCCTCTGGCGTAGGCAAAGGGAAGCGCCTTTTCCGGTTGCTTCTTTAAGCTTCCACTCCCTGAGTTACACCTGAGGATGGCAGTGTTCACAGCCAGGGCTCCGAGCTGCATTACTCCAGCTGCCGCCGCCGGATCTCCAGCCACTGGGAACCGCCCCACGCCACCCTCACCCAGCCTTGCTCACGGAGAACCAGCTCTGCGCATCCCACAGGGGTTCTGATCCACAGAGAGGCCACCAGGCCTGTGCCTTCAGCAGCCAGAAGCAGCTCTGGCCGATTAGAACCCAAGTCTCTGTAAAGGAATCGGCGGCATTGTGAGCCAACACAAGGGGAGACATGCTCACGTTCGAAAAAGAAAGTTCTTATTTTCCTAAGAGCAAACAAAAGTTCTCAGACATCAATCCACAAAATACAATTTATAATTGAAGTCTTTTCTTTGGCAATGTGTAAATATGAATTCTAAGCCCACGTTTTGACGAAGTTCATTTCCTATTATTCCGTGGCGGCTTCCGGTAGGCCTCTCCTGGCAGAGGCAGAGTGTGACTGCGCAGCTAGCTGTTGCGAAGGAGCTCCACCATCAGCGAACACGCGTCGCAGGGACCCAGGCTTGAGGATGCTGCCTCCTGCTCAGAAACGAGGTATCTGCCACCACATCAGCAGCTCAGAGAGAAAGAATGATTGCCTTCATTCCAAGACATTTCTTCAAGATATATTTGAGCGTCTATTGGTCCCATACTTCTGAGCTCATCTTCATTAATATGAGTTTCTGTTACTTTTGCTTCAGGTCTGACACATTAGCAGAAGGCTTGGCCCCCAAAACACCATACCAATCCTTCGCTGGCCCCTGCTCCAACGCCATCACTCTTGAACCAGAAGAGGGTCTTCTCAGGCCGGCTAGGCCGGCCCGGGCCCTGTCCCTTCTCGCGCGGCAGAGCTGGAGCCGGGCCGGACGCGGCCAGCCTTCCTGCCGCGCCCCACGCACCAGGACAGCAGGCCCTGGGGCCCTGCACGGCAGCTCCGCTCCTCGCGTGCCACCCGGCTCCGTCCGCGACTAGCTCCCCTTGAATAAATTTTAATATTTCTGTCTCTCCCTGCGCACGAACTTTAGGCAGAGGGACTTCCCATTTTCCCGCCTTTTCTTTTCATTTTTGTTTAATTATATTGGAAAGTACTTTTGCTCGAGACTGTCCCTCTCTATCCAGCAGACAAGCAGGTACTGCTGCCTGAGGAATCTTTTCATCATTCTTTTGTTTGGTGTTTCTCTTTTCATGCATCTTGGTAGTCTTCTTCATTTGTATTTTCTCGGCATGGCGCTGTTTATAGTAGAGCTTAGCCTTCAGGCCAGTCATTTCTTTTTTTACCTTCTTTGAACATTCATGAGCCTCTCAACTTTCCTTCTTTCCCTTTTTCTCCTGGTACTCCAAATGATACCCATAACATTTACGGTGTTATTCAGTATATTCATTTCGAGGCATGGTGAGAGCTGCAGAGCCACCAGGGGCAGCCTCAGGCACGGGAAGAAAAGTTTCAACTTTAGGGTCTCTCAGACACATGAGCTGACTCCACGCAGCCGGTAACAGGTTGTAATCCACTTTTTCGGTTGCTATTTAAACTTAAAGAAGATGAGAATTTATTATATGTTGTAACTTGAATATAGTTTGTTTCCATAAAAACTCATGTTGAGGCTTGGTCTCCAGAGTTATGGCATTGGAAAATGGGGCCTTTAAGAGGTGGGGCCTAGTAGAAGGTGACTGGGTTGATGGGTCATAAGGGAACCACCCTTGGAAAGGGTTCATCCTTTTCTCAAGGTTCTTGATTGGTTGCCACAAGAAGAAATTGTTACAAAGGGAGCATTCTCAACTTACCCTTTGCTCTCTCTCTCTCTTGCAATATATTATGGTTTAGACATAAAATGGTCCCCTAAAGTCTCACATTCAGTGTGTGGCCTGGTCAGAAAGGACAAGTGACTGGGGACATGAGTTTGAAGGGTACCTTCTTTTCCCAAGCTCTGACCTTCTCACTCTGCTTCCTGGCTGCCATGAAGTGAACAACATTCCTCCAGCACACCATTCTGCAATGTCATTTCTGCCAACCATGGGCTGAATCCAATAAAGCTGAATCAAAATACACCTCTCCTCCTTGAAGTTGTATGTGCCAGGTATTTTGCTCCAGTGACAGGAAAGCTAATATAGAAAATAAGTACCAGGAGTGGGGTTGTAGCTGTGACTGTACCTGACCATGTGGTTTAGAAGTCTTTGGAACTGATTTGGAGGAGGAGTTTGGAAATGTTTGGAGATGCAGGATAGAGAAGCCCTAGAATGTTCTGAGCAGTGCTTTATATGTGATGCTGATCCAAGCTCAGAAGACCAGAATGCTAATAGGCATGTGGACAGTGAAGGCCAGGGTCATGAGGTTGCACTGGAGAAAAAGGACTCCATTGGTGGTTGGGCTAGAAGCCTTGTGTATAATGTTCTGATAAAAAATTTGCCTACATTTCCCCCATGACCTGAGACTTGCAGGAGACCAGGATTAAGGGTTGCAGACTAAAATCTGGTAGAGGAAATTTCAAGGCAGCTCATTGGTCAGACTCTGACATGAATAAAGCTGGCTGCTTTTAGCTGGATCTACAGTGGGAATCAGAAACAGACAGTGGAGCTGAATGATTTGAGGCTTGCAGTTTTGCCAGAAAGAAAGTACCTGTAAAGTTAGGGCAAACAAACAAACAAACAAACAAAAAAAACCCAAACATGGTTGCTGAAATGGTTAACTAATATTAAAAAGAACCCAAGTACTTTGTAAAGGGAGAAGAAATCAGCAAAGCCCCACCCATCACAGGTTCCAGAGTGCAAGACTGTAAATCTTTCATTTGAGAAGAGTCCCTGTGATACTCACTCAATTCAGTGCCACCTAAAGAAGTGTATCCCTGAGCTCAACCATCACAGAACTCAGAGGCCACTACAGCCATGATTCAGGGAGATCTAGCTAGTGCTCAGGCTAGTAGCCAACCTTTGAATCATCCACATGGTGGTCATTTTGGGGCATGCATAATGCAAGAGTTATGGGGTTACAATGACTTCCACTAAGATATCAGAAGGCCTGGGGCCAGGAGCTCATGAGAGGGCAGTGCGTGATGCTGTAAGAGTGAAGCCAAGATATAGCAGAGACACTCGGAAGTTGGAGCGGCCAGGAATTGGAATGTCTGCTGAGGAAAGCCACAGGCAGTGAACAGAGCCATCCCAAGTAAGAAACCATGTGGGCTGCAACCAGCAAGGCCATAGAGGCTGGACTACCCAAGCCCTTTGGAGCTCAAATCTCATGACAACCTGCCCTGGATTCTGGATGTGGAGCTATTGGATTTAATGTTTGCCCTGCTGGGGTTTGGTCTTACTTTGGTCAGATTTCTGTCTATCCCTCTATCCTTCTCTTTTGGAACGGGTATGTTTACCCTGTGCCACTGTAGGTTGGAAGTGTTTAACTTTCTTTTTCATTTTTACAAGGGCTTACAGGAAAGAATTTGCTTTAAATCTCAGAGGAAACTTTGAACTTGGATTTTTCAGCAATGCTGGACCTGTTGAGACTTTGGTGACTCTTAAAAGATGGACTAAATGCATTTTGCATAATGAGATGGATGAAAGACTTTTGGGGGCCAGGGGTGAAATGTTATGGTTTAAATCTAAAAACGCTCCCCAAAGTCTCACATTCAGAATGGGACCTGGTTGGAAGAAGCAATTCACTGCAGGTATGACTCTGAAGGGTATGTTCTTGTCCCTAGATCCTCCTTTCTCTTTCTGCTTCCTGGTGGCCATGAGATGAACAGCTTCCCTCATATATTCCATTCTGCCAAGACAGAATGGAGCCAGCTGACTATGAGCTGAATCCACTGAAACTATGAGCCAAAATAAACCTCTCCTCCTATAAGTTGTGGATGTTGGTTTGTGCTAGTGATGGGAAAGTGACTAATACACCATGTGATCTGTTGTGCATGTACTCCCACCATGGGATCTATCCCCCACGTTACAATGCAACCAGAAGGCTCTCACCAGTGGCAGACCAGATGGAGCCACCCAACCTTGGACTTTCAGCCTCCAAAATTATAAACTAAACTTCTTCTCTCTATAACTTTGTCAGCCACAGGTATCTTGTTATAGCAACACAAAATAGACTAAGACATTCAGTATCATTATGTAAGGCAATACTTTAAGAGGCCTTCACAGTCTACCAGATGAGAGAGTAAAACATTCCCACCTTTTAGAGCAGTGGTTCTCTATTGGGGGACAATTTTGCCTTCCAGAGCCATCTGTTGATGTCCAAGATGTGTGTAATAATCAAACCTGGGGGAGAAAGAAGAGTCTGGGAGAAGAGGCTGCTACTGGGATGTGGTAGGTAGAGGCTGGGGATCCTAAAGGTCCTACAATAGACAAGATAGCTACACACACACACACACACACACACACACACACACACACACACACCCCACAAAGAATTATCAGTTAGGATATCAGTAGTGCTCATGTCAAGACACTCTGAACTAAATCTTCTGGATTGCTCATAGATTTTGACTGATTAATAATCCCTGTAAGTGTGTAGTACAGGAGGGGTTCCCACATGGCAGCAACAGCAGCCAAGAAGTTATTACAGCAGCAAGTCCTCAGGCCCCATCTAGTCCTATTAAGTCAGAATCTCTGGGGGCAGAGCTCAAAAATCTGTTTTAACGAGCCTTCCAGGTGATGCTAATGCACTCTGCAGTCTGAGGAGACAAGGTAGCCGATCTTGTTTCCTAGTTCCCAATTCCTGGCTCTAGCATTTGGTGACAGCGAATCTTATAACACTTTTGTAATGGCTACTAAAAGCTAAGAAGCTGACTGCACCAAATCAATTGATGACTGAGCTGGTGACAGTCATTCCAAAGTGCTCCTGCAGGGGACCCACAGTTAATCATGCCAGCTTTCTAATTCCAGGACATTGGAGTTGACCACAAGAGGGCACACTCCACTCAGCCTTGAGCGTCTGTGGTCTCTGCAAAGGGTCTGAACGGGAAGTTTGAGTGACCTGCCAAGTGTGAGGGGGGTAGGAGGGGACAGACACTTTTCCCCATAGAGTGGCAGTGATTGGACTTCACTGCTAGACCTCAGCCCTGAACTCTAGAGCTGAGTTTCTCCAAGCATGGTCCCAGATCAGCAGCATCAGCATCACCCTGGGAAGTTGTTAGAAAGGGAATTCTTACCCCAGGCCACTAGATGCAAAGCTCCAGAGGCGGTGGCCAGCAATCTCTATTTTAACAATTCCCCTCCCCTTCTAGGTGAATGCTTCGTTGGCTCAAGCTCCAGAATCCCTACTCCCTAGACTAGAGCACCTTTCTGTTTATTTGCAGGCCACAAAACCACGTTGGTATCTGATCTCTTCATACTTCTGCTGGGAGGTGAAATGGAAGAGGCTTCATTCTTGACACCCACTGTCTTCTTCAGGTCACTTTCCTGGGAACCCCTAAGGACACCCAGGTCAGTCACTCTGCAGAATTCCGTGCAATCTCTAGGCTCAGCCCTTGGCCAGGGCCTCTGAGGGAGCAAAGGAGCTGTAAGCAAGGTAGCACTTCCATAAGCTCCCAAGGCACTGTGGGAGGCAACTGTTAGAAGTCAGAGGGGTGCAGGGAAGGTCAAGGAGCAGTAATGGGCCGGAAAACAGTATGGCTGAACCTACCTGAGACAGCTAATGCAGAGGAGGAAGGAGAGACAGTGCCAGGGGGCTGGCGAGTCAGGGTGTGAGTTACTTGCGCATGTAGACCGGCTGAGGGAAAGACCCCATAGCAAGAATAAGGTTCGGGTTTTGTGTTGATGAGTGGATGCAGTGGAGCCACGGGGCACCAAGAGTGGGCACTGTTGCAGCTCTGCCCAGCATTCATATAAGAGCAGGCTGCTTCTCCTCACAAATCCTTGGTGTCTTCATATGTGACACAGACTCTCTAACTTATATAGTTTGGTGGATATTGAATAAAAACTTGCCAGTGCCAAGTCTAACATGGTACCTAACTTAGAGCAATCACTTAGAAAATGTTAATTATTAGAGTCGTTTTTGATAGCATTTGATTAATGTTTGTTGAAAAAAGAAAGTAGTGGCTGAGCAGGTCAACAGCTTAAGCTTACTCCTGGCCCATGATTCCTATTTGTCTTTTGAGAACTGGGAAATAAGGGTTACATTGGTTCGAATGAAGCTCATCTTAACATAAACTTGAAGCTGCCTCCACCGCTACCCCCAAAAGCAGCCTGCCCCAAAGGCAAATGGATCCCATAGTCAACTTGACAGAATTTGGGACCCAGGCTGATTTTCCCCAGAGAGCTTGCCTGCTCTCCAGTGAACCTAGGACTCCTGTGATTTACGTCATCGTCTTCAGGTGCAAAGAGCTCCACGAACAGGGGCACTCTCTCCCAGGCAGCCGCAATACCCTGGCCCTAGCACGAAGGAGCCCATCTGGTGGTGAGGTGCAGCTGTCCAGGATGTATGCTGGCCCCGCTGGCTCCACGGTGACTAACGGACACAACTGCCACTGCTGCCTTACTTCCAAATAACTCGGAGTAGGACAGTCTCCCAGCCACATGGGTAGCTCCAGGTGGCCACTTTTGGGGATTTCTGCCAGTCTCAGGAAAAGAGAGAAAAGCTCTGTAAAATCATTATAATAATACTTTCTCCTCTTGAAGGATCTTAGCTGTTGGGCCACATGCGAGTTTTTCTCTAAGGTTTCTATGCCAGCACTGTGTGCCTTGATTTTCAGGCAGTGGTGGGGCCTCACAGTGGAGACCCCAGATGCAAAAGTCTGGCTCATCTTTTCTGAAAGAAATACATTCTATAGCAGTGCATCCCAGACTTAGCTGTGTGCCAGATTCCTCTGTGGAACATAACATATGTGCAAATTCTGAATCAGTAGGTGTGTGGCCAGATCCAAACACCAGTGTAGATGTTCACACTGTACAATGAGTCATATCCTGATAAACCCACTGTAAGTCAGAACTGTGTTAATACACCCAGCCTACCAAACATCATCACTCAGCAATACACACACTGACAGTGCCTGGTGGTTTAGCCCTGCGACCATGTGTGTGACTGGGAGCAGTGGCTCAGAGCTGCTGCCCAGCCTCTTGAGAGAGTATTATACATGTGTTGCTAGTCCAGGAAAAGATCAGAATTTGAAGCACAGTTTTTAGTGAATGTGTATTGCTTTAGTGCCCCATCTGAAAGTAAAAAAATAAAATCCTAAGCCAAATATAAGCCAGGGACTATATTTTATTGCTAACCAGCACTGTAGGACTTAATTCTCACAGTGTGGTCTGCACACTGCCTGCTTCCAATCACCTGCAACACTTGTTGAAGATGCAGCTTTCTCAGCCCCACCTCTACCCACTCAGGCACGCCCAGCCTAAACTACAGGTGGGACACACCTAGGTTATAATAAATGATATTTTTAAAAGAAAGTCTTGTTACGTACATTACCTATGTTATGTCTTTTATATGTGGCCCAGGACACAATTTCTTCTTTTTTTTTTTTTCACTTTATTAAATTCTTTATTGGTACATTGTAGGTATACAACACAATTACGTTTCTCATTGGGAATTGTACCTTTACATAATGCATCTTGGTTCTTATTTTTTCCCCATTCCTAGCCCTCCCTTTACCCCCTCCACCCTTCCCTATTTATAAAGACTTTATTTCCATTTTTTCCATTTCTCATCATTTTTCTTTTCCCTTCTTTCCTTTCCCCTGCCCCTCCCACTACCCCTACCCCTTTGGACCTTTTCTTCCTATTTTACATTATCAATTATTCATTCTACTCATTGGTACATTTTAGGTGTACAATATAATGACAATCATCATTGGAAATTTGCACCTTTACATAGTCTCTCTTGGTTCTTATTTTTCACCCTTGCCCAGCCCTCCCTTCAACCCCTCCAGTCCTCCCTAATTACAAAGATTTTGTTCCTATTTTTCCATTTTCTCATATTAATCCCACTCCCTTCTATCCTTACCCCTAGCCCTCTCACTTCCTTCCCCTTTGCCCCTTTTCTTCCTATTTCACATGACCTATTATACATTTAATCCTTATTTACACTTTCAGTTTCTCACACCAGAGAAACTATTCGGTATTTACACATGTGTGTTCTATTTATTTCACTTAAGAGTATCGCCTCAATGTGCATCCACTTAGCTATAAATGTTTCTAATTTCTCATTTTTTATGGCTGAGTAGTACTCCGTTTTATTAAAAAACCACATTTTCTTGATCCAGTCTCCAGTTGATGGGCATTTGGGCTGTTTCCAAGTTTTAGCTATGACAAACTGTGCTGCTATGAAATGGGTGCACATATATCACTGTGGTATGATTCTTTTAATTCTTTGGGGAAGATCCCCAGCAGTGGAATAGCAGGGTCAAATGGGACTTCCAGTCCTAGTTCTTTGAGGTATCTCCATACTGATTTCCACAGTGCTTGCACCAGTCTACACTCCCACCAGCAGTGGAGCAGTGTTCCTCTTTCCCCACAGCCCTGCCAGCATTTGTTATTGGTTGATTTCATGATAGCAGCCATTCTTTCTGGAGTGAAGTGGAATCTCAGCATTGTTTTCATTTTCATCTCTTGAATGACCAGTGATGTTGAACATTTTTTCATGTATTCATTTGCTATTTCTACTTCTTTGTCTGAGAAGTGTCTGTTCATTTCAGATGCCCATTTTTGGATTGGGTCTTTAAATTTGGGAGGTCTGATCTTTTTAAGTTCTTTATAGATTTGAGATAGTAGACCTTTGTCTGAGGAAGAGCAGGTGAAGATTTTTTCCCACATTGTGGGTTGGAGGACACAATTTCTGTTCACTCATTATGGCCCAGATAAGCCAGACAGGTCCAACCCACAGGCTACAGGTCGGACATTCCTGTGACAGCTGCAGGGTATGGGCTGCTTCCTTCCTTTTTTTTTGTTTGGTACCGAGGATCGAACTCAGGTCCTTGCGCTTGCGCAGCAGGCGTCGAAACCACTGAGCTAAATCCCCGGCCCTATGCTTCCTTCTTGACAGGTGACCATCCCTGCAGGTCTGCTTTGAGAACCACTGGCTATCACAAGCCACCGCTGTAGAACAATTAAGCTAGAATTTCTGTCTTAAGAACTCAGCAACTATGGAAAGTGTCAGCCAACATGACACAAAGAAGCAAAGAAAGTAGAAAAAGTGATGTAATCTGAGGCCATGTTGAGTTTGAGGTGAGGAAATTGTGATGGAAAAACACAGGGCTCTCACCTTGACCCTGACCTCACCCTGGCAGAGGGGCTGGTCGTGGTTAGCAGCCTTCTCCTGGGGGAGGCGCTTCTGCCCCTGCTCTTGCAGGGGACAGGGTCGGGGTTTGTGTGTTCTTCCTGGCTGTGTGAGCTGGGATTGGAACTGGGATCCCAAAGGACTGGCGCTGGGCCCCAGCCTCAGCCTGAAGGGTCTGTCCTCCCAGGGGCAGAGGGGCCCCGTGCGCATGTCTGTGAAGTGGCACTAGGAGGCTTTGCTGCCAGCTCCATGGAGCCTTCCTCTCCTGTGGAGAACCAGGCCAGAGCCAGTCTCTAGGGGCCCAGCCAGCCACACAATGGCCTGTCTGTTCCTGTGATTCCAAGCACCCAGGCAGTCAACCCAGAAACTGCCCCTGAGCCCTTTAGGGCAGGCAAATTTAAAGAGCTCTCTTCAACCTAGGCTCAACATTTTATAGGCTAAGAAGATGCATTTGCCTTCCCCAAAGTGCACTTTTCCATACTCTTTTTATTTATTCTTTTTTTTTTTTTTTGGTTGTTTTTGAAATAGGCTCTTGCTCTATAGTTCAGGCTGAACTCACTGTGTAGTCCAGGCTGGCCTCAAACTCATGGCAATTCTCCTGCCTCAGCCTCCTAAGTGCTGGGATTACAGGTGTGCACCACCATACCCAGCTGTCTTCCATACTCTTTGACCATGAGATCTTCTAAATGGAATCTTTTCTTCCTCTGCAGCTGATGGTCTCTGGAAAAATTTGTGGCTCTCCAGAATTCCCCCGGGAACTCCTGGGACAAGAGAAACCTGTGTCCACTCAGCAGGATGGGCTGGAAACACACACAGTGTCTTTCTCTCACCCCACAACAGCCAGGGGTCAAACAGCCACCCAGAAGGCCAAAAACTAGATACTTTTTTAAGATTTACTTTTGAGTTTATCTCAATATAAGCCACATCATTTCAAAAGTTAAGGTAGCTGACAAAAACACATACATTATTTGTCAGTTAAAGGAAAAGAAGCAAAGGGAATGTAAAGGAAGGCAAACCAATGAAACCAGGTAGAAGTTTATGCATAAATTTACTACTATACCTATCAAAGACAGAACATACATTGGTTCTGAGCTTTTCGGCCAAAAAAAAAAGAGTGTGTAATTTTAAAGGTAACTCATATATACCCTCAAATCCTTTTTATTTCCTTAAGGAAAACAGTGAACTTTTATTGAGTTTCCTCTATGTGCCA